ATAATTACATGCATGCATACATACCAACTTGCATACATACATACATACATACATGCATACATACATACATGCATACATGCATGCATGCATACATACATACATACATGCATACATACATGCATACATACATACATGAATATATATATATATATATGTATATATGTATATGTAGGTGTATACCTTGGACGTATGCCATCGTCGTTGCCAAGAAGCCTGCTCATGGCATTAACTTTGTCCCAGATCCTTGGCGAAAACTGGAGAGAACCAGGCTCGCTGGGATCAACTGCAGACGACGCATAGATCTCTGGGTAGTTGTTAGAACATGGCGAGAAGGTCATAGAAGCCACGCTTTCAGGACGGCCAAGCAGACACAAATGATGAGCTTGCTGCTACTCATCTCTCCAACCTGTGGCCTGAACCGGAACGCAATTCCGCGGAATGGAAAGCCTGTAGCCTTTACAGACACTACGCAGGTTATCCATTTTGACGATGTGGTGCAATTCGACTGTAGGATTCGAGGTGTCAGCCCAATCGTACAAATGGAGATGATACAACCAAGCACAGAACAGCATTGACAAAGCGTGATCATACCCAAACCATCGTCATGTGCGCCATCGTCGTCCACACTGTCATCATGACCATCACCGTAGGCAGCAGAAAAATGCCCAACAAAAAACTACCAGCAGTAAAGACAGCAACAATAGATGCAGCGACAGTGCTTGGACAAGAACAATCGCACATACGATCATACAGATGGTAGTAAATTTCCAGAAGAAAACCTAGGATGCCGGACTCTCCACAAACTCATGGTCTGCACAATGCCGAACTTGGCTTGAAACTCGACAGTGCGTCTCATATCAACCACAAACCCGCAGCTGCCAAGAGGCACGGCATTGTTGACCATCTGTGCCGAACACGCCGTGCTCCTGTGGTGCAGCCGTGAACGAAGCCTGACGCCTCACACCATGTCATGCCGAAAGCCCACAGCTGGCAACCTGGGCTTCAACGGTAATGGATACCCCAACAGCCAGTGCAGAGCAGGCCTGTCAAAAATCTGTGACATTTACCTAAAAGTGCACGAAAATATATTGTTTCGGCCGGCGGCAAGCTTCTGGTGAGGACCAAACATGGCACATCCATGCATGCACAACAGCACAACCATCTGCTCACATCCCTGACAGGTATCCACCGCAGTCCGTGATTGCCTTACACATGATTCCATACCTCAATCCTCAGTAGATAATGTCCTGCTGCTGTCTTCACGATGAACCTGGACACGAACAGTCATCTTAGTCTTAGTGGTTAGCCTGAGGCCACCGTGAATCCCTCGGCATCCTCCCCTTTCTTTTCCATGGCTTGGGTGTGATGGAAGTCGTCAAGTTACAAGGCCGATTGCCTACTCTGCTTATCTCCCAGGCAGATGCCCTATATCCTCTGTGTCAAAAAGAAACTGTCCTCTCCAGCTGAAGTCCGAGGGAGGGCTCCGTCTGGACAAGGGACTGGAGGTAGGGCAACTCCTGACGGGCTCATGTTTTGGGAGTCTACGCTGCAGCCACTCTTTGTCGGAAGTGTCAGCCCTGACCGATCCAGCACCAGACCAGGATTTTTGGCAGGTCTCCGAAACTACGGTCCAAGCAACGGAGCAATAATCGCTTGAAGCACCGAGAGGCTCCTGCACTGCCAAAGCGGCTGAAACTTACACCTCCCAGCACTCTGGACTTAAGATGGCTTAATCTCCAGTTACCACACCTGCTGGACCCTGAAACCTTAATGCGGCCGCGGGGCCCAGCCACCCGCATCGAAGCCTATAAAAGCATAGCCTCGATTCTCTTGATGCGAGTTCCTGGCTCTTGCACGGGTGGTCGAGGGCTGATTTGCACATGTGGTCAGCGAGCTGTCTTCTCAAAGGTCGAGAGCCCAGTTGCAAATAGGAGCCATGAAAGTATGTAACACCGAAACACCAGCAAAGAATGACTTGGCTCTGGCAGAGCATATGTCATGCCGACAACCGACACCGACAGGCACCGAACATGTCGACATGGGACAGCGCAAGGCCAAGATACCGACATCTTGCACTGCTGCTTCTTCAGGGCCAAAGAATCATCCACATCCAACTGTCTTGACCCAAAACAACAGCACCTCATGTCGTCAGATCTGAACTTCTTTGTACCCAGAACTCATTGGCCCCGCCTGATAGAAGGGACGTACCAAAAAACTGGCACCGGGACTCCTATCTGGAAAAGGAGGCTCACGACCTCGATCCTGGGCCGTTGAGGCGGGGCTGTCGCTGAAAGAGAGGCGTGGCGATATGCCTGAACGTGACTATCCCTGCGCACGCGTCTACTACACATCGGGTGTGTGGGGAACCGGAGTGAAACCCTCATACACAGACAACCACAAAGCCGCCACATTCAGATATGCACTGGATACACGGCTCGCTTGCGGCTGCTGGTGCCCATACGGCTGATAAGTGCGCCAACCGTTCACTGCTGGCTGAGCCACTCCGTCAACTTCGGCGGAATGCCGCGCATCAAGTAGATCTCATTCCCTGCCATAGCCATAGCTGATACCGGTTACATCTGTTACGCACGCCGATCACTTGTGTTGAACTTTTTCGGAAACATGCCTCGAGCGTGGAGCACTCCAGCATCAGCAACAGGCACAAGCATGCACACAAACTCAGTTGTGCATGTGTATGCTTACATACCATAACAGCCGTGCCATTCCAGACCAGACCATAACACAACATAACGTAACATAACCCAACACTACGCTAAATTGCATGATGTAACATTATCTCACATACATGAGAGCACATACAGCAGCACATTGGTGGAAAGGTGATTTCACTTCTACATTCACAGATCGTCTGTGTTACTTGTAATTATGTACATGCCGATCTTCTTTGCTGGGTGGTTAGGGTCGAGCACGACTTTCTGGATTCCTCCGAAGGGCATGTCAGTACGGATTGAAAGCGATGTAAGCACAGAAGTAAACAGTTACTGCAGAACCACGCTGACCCAGCTGACGGTTCAGGCTGCAGTCCACAATCGGGCACAGTCTGCCAAACCAAGGCGAGGCTTCTGGCACGTAATCAGCAGCACAGGTTGCGGCTGGAAGCCTACTTGCAACACAAACCCTCGTTCTCTGGAGATCCTGAGGCCCTCAACCACTCACTGCAAGACAAGCGATTACGAGCGCTCTGCGGCCTTGATTCGGCTGCTGCATCTGCGTTCGCCGCTTTTGCTGTGTGACGCCTGTGAGACGACAGGGCAACAGAAATCACAAATAATACCTTCTGACTTATAAAACTAACAAGTCTTCAACAGGCTTTTCCTTTTTGCCCTTGCAGCTGCACATGTGGAGGTTACTATGACAATGACGACTTCTTCACTGCCCATTTGTCCGGGCTGGGTTGGAGTCTTCCGGGTCTTCATGGGCTTTTGCGTGGGTCGATGAAGCGATCTTGAGCCAATGCGAGTATTTGCCCAGGTTGTCCATGTGGTTGGGGGATTCTTCCTGCAAAAACACAGCCCTGTTGAGTAGTCGATGCGAACTTGACACGAAGGCTTACAGAGCCTTGATGACCTATGGTGCAAATACCTGCAACCTCGTTCGCTTGCTTCCTCACAATTACACGACAAGGTGTAGACTCTACCCAGAACCCCAACACGAACCTCCAAGATCCGCGGCCATGCTTCTCACAAAACAGGAAAACCCTCTTCTGCTTCTCACCTCGCCAATAAAGGGCGACTGTTCTTTTCCACCGCCAACCTTGGCAGCGCCAAGAACTTCAACCAGCTACCAGTCATTGTGCGAGCATCTGTTAGTTGCAATTCCTGCACGGGGTGCACTACCGCTACCGTGAAAGACCGATGCGGCCGAGCAAACGGCGAAAACGTAGAAACTCTGGCTCCGGAGACCAAGCGTTGAAGGAAGCATGCACAGGGTTTTGAAAGGTCGGGATCCTTAAAGGTTGGTTCTAGGAGAGCAGAATGCAGACCTCGTGTTGATATCAGAACTGTGGGACTGCGCAGGGCTCTTCGTTACTTTGTGGCAGAAATCGGAAGAAGCAAGATTCATAACAAAAAGTCGATCATGCAAGCCACAAAGCCAAATCAACAGATGGGCCCCCTCACACCATCTGCAAGCCATACCTTTCTGAAGCCCAGGAGCGAAGACAGGTAACGCCTGGTCTCCGACTGTCGAAAAATGAGCTCGCTCGCCCGCCTTGCCAGGGACGAAGATTCTAAAATTGTCATAAACAGCAGGGACAAGCCGCCCCTTGCAAGGAGGCAAGCTGAAAGCTATGACTGCGATGACTACGAGCAGAAGCGCCGAATATTCAAACATTGAGTTCAGACTCCTCTCTAGAATCTCCCGTGCCCCGGGCAAAATATCAGTGTCACCAGAATCCAATAAAGAAGAGACAATGAGAAGTTGCAGAAGCAGTGGCAAGTCAAGCAAGCCTTTACCAACTTTACCAAGATGAAGGCAAAGAACGATAAAGGAACAACAGAGGCTAAATTTCCGTCTTGACCACCGCCCGCTCCGCTAGGGAGGATTTCAGCATCGGCAGCGGACCAAGGTCGTAGCACTTACTCGCTGAACAACCTCTCAGATCAGTGCTCCTCAAGCCCCCAAGATCCCTGAACGATCAACTTGAAACCTCTTCGTCATGAGATGCAAAGAAGGCGCCAAAAAACGGAGCTTATCGAAGGATCACTTCCTGAGCGAATCGGCGCCGGATTGTCGCAAGCTTCAGCGTTGGTTCCGGAAATATTGGAATCAGAAAAGTTCCGCGAACAACTCAGCACATTTCAATTAGTCGCTTGGTGATGCAATAATGCAATGAAGCATCACCGGCTGAGAAAAATCGCCAGAGGCCTACGAGCTGCCTGCAATGCACGCTGGTACAGTCATAGCCAGGCTTGGCCACACTGCAGAGCAGATCCCAACTGAGACCGCCTGACTCAGGCTGCACATTTCCCTTGGGCTCAGAACGCGTGCTCCCAGAATCCGAAGGCAAAGTTATCACGTTCATCCCTCTTTCAACAGCAAGACCTCTTTCAACAGAAAACCCTATCTGGGCGACTGGCTCAACGAAGTTCTCGCCCTCCACAATTCTTGCGAGCCTCGGCTAACTCCAGCTCTCGAGGGACGTACATGTTTGCCATTCGCTGTTTCGATTGAACGCGCAGGATGTCCGCCACGCGACATCGTCGAACCAGATACCCAATGATGTCTCTCGCCATCTCCGTCGTTCTTTCTGTTTTTCCTCCCCCCTCCCTCTCTCTGCAGGCTTTGACGACGGGTTGAGCGAGTCCAGGAAGTGGGACAACTCCGCATGATGCAAGCACAAGCGGGGCTCGTCAGATCGCCGTCTCGTCTCGAAAAGCAAGAGATGCAATGAAGGTAGCAAAGTCCTCACGTCGCAACCCTGGAACCCGATTGACCTCCAAGCTGCCGCCTTTACAGCTTGGAACAAACTCTTGCAAAACGCATCGTACCTGCAAAGCCCGATGCAAACTCTACTGTCAGGACTGTCAGGGCTGGCCAAGCCTGATGCACAACTCGAACTCGATGCAGCCGCGAAACTCTGGGGCCGCACGCTGTATTCGAGGCGGTCAAGTAACGTGGCATTGGAACATTGAACAGCTGCAGCGACCATTTCGTGCAGTCTGGACTGGGGTAGTGTTCATACTGGGTTTAATGCCTGACAGGCTTCAACATCAAACCTGAGGTATCGCGAAGTTTTTGCCCAAAGCCCCACAAGCCTTTTCTGATGCCGATCGTTTCCCGAGCAAACCCCTCAAACCCGTGGCACCCCCGAAACTCGAGAGGTGAACAGTAACAGGAAAGCTCGGAAACTCTGGGCAGTGCCAATACAACTCAGTGCATCCGCGTATGTATATGCCACGCCTACATTGGCCCGTCGGCCTACATGCCAAACATGAACATGTTCAGACAAAACACACGTGCAAATTTGGTGCCGCACCTGGTGTCCTGGTCCTAACTGCATGCACAAACACTCGCATAATCTCTCCTACTGCCAAACGAAACCAATGCATTACCAGAATGTGTTTAATACTCACTCTGTTGGGCTGTGTAACAGTATCATCTCATGTCTCTCATGTCGTTTAATTTGCTTAATTTGCGTCTTCCTGCAGCTCTGACTGTGGTTACGCGAGCTTCATGCCTCTACCCGTGCTTGTGTGTACACATACCTAGTCTCCATTTCCAATTACAGATCACAAAGACTAACGAGCAGGCAAGCAGGCGTACGAGTCATACAGGCATCCAGACAGATCCCCTCACAGTCTCGCTCATGAGGAGGCCGCGCAGGCGCTTCGTGTACAGTTTTGCAGAAAAACATACATGCACACATACAACATGGAAATATAAGCGTATCAGTGTCTAAGTGTACAAAGACAGGCGGGCGGGCGAGCCTTCACAATGGCACAAAGGCATCCGAAGCTCCAAAACTCGAGTTGAGTCCAACCGGCATTTGGTTTCAGCCGTCTGCAGTTTAGACTCCGGAGGGCCGACCCTCAAAAGAAAAACACAGCGGTAAAGGCGGAGCAAACAGCAAACAGCACCGGCCTGAGATCCGAAAACGCGGTGCGTCAGATGCGAACTGCAGGACTACGGACTACGCTCAGCAACGGTCTTTGCAGCTAATTCCTCTGCCTTTGAGAGGCCTTGGGAGCCGGACACTCCGGCACACGCACTGGTCACGCCGATGAATTCCATGATCGAAGAGCTAGCCGACTTCTATGAGCATCAGGCTTTCGAACGAGAAAGCTCGAATGAAAGACAGATCATGATGCGAGACTTGGGAGGAACCGCGGGCGAGGCGGTCTATCATCTGACACCACTTATCATAAGACTCTGTGAACAGCCTCCAGGACTCGACATGTTGCAGAAGTATATTGAAGGAGGACTCCCTTGAACGGTAGTGAAACAATGCCAGCAGCAAAAGGATCCGAACCTACACACCGGCAACCGCTCAGAATGCTAATCTGCTAATCCTCCTTCAATACGGAAATGTCTTCTGCGTCATCAGAATGTAGAAGTCCTGTCAGGCATCCAGGGCTCCCCCATGTCAATGTCTCAGAAAAACCGATCCTCAGAACAGAATAGGGCGCTAAAGCCGTAAACAAGCCAACTCCAGCTTTGCAGCAACTTCCAACTGGCTCTGGCGATCAGCTTGGCCAATACTACGGTATTGCTATGCTTACGGTATGACTTGGCAAAAGCTGTCCTAAAGTTCATGTCCTCCGCGGTCACCTCACCATCACCATCCGAATCGGCGCGCGCGATCATGTCCTGCAAGCATGATTTTCCCCTCTCGCATGGCTAGGATCATTGCCCAGAGGCACGGTTAGGTAGATGTGCATAATGAAGCAAAGCCGTTCGTGACACGTGCCGCTTTGGATTTTGCGGTTCCAACACCTGAGCCTTGCCAAGTTTGCTGGACTGTTTGGAATGGTGAGGTTGGGGGTGCATGCCTTCTCCGTCTGCTGTAGAGCTCGGAAACTGCAGCTTGCACCGACGAGCTGCAAGGAATGTCTCGTCTTGCTCATCCAGCTGGTGATTTTGGATCAGCTGCTTGAGATCCACGACTGCCAAAGTGCTCAAGCTCCATGAAATTCTACATCAGGCCCAAGGCATCAAGGTGATCTGAAACCATAAATCTGCCAATACCCTGTTCGACCCGAATCGGAGTGAGCCTGAAGACCTGACGGCAGACCTTAACCCCGACCAAGCGCCTTTCATCACCAGTATGTAGGGGCCTTAATCATGAGAATAGGGTTTTGGGGGCCCATTATACTATAATTTATAATTATAATAATAAGGAACCCCCAAAATGTGATAGGTAAATACTATAATTATAGTTTCCAGGAACCCCAAAAATGTTTTAGGTAACCCCATTATACTATACTTATAATAATAAGAAGGAACCCCCAAAACGTTATAGGTAATTACTAAGGCCCCTTTCTTACCCCCCCTTCCCGGGGAAGCGCCTCCAGCGCTTCGACCGGAAGCTGCTCGCCGAGCTCCCGCGCCACCCGCTGCCTCGAAAGGCTTCGCTCAAGCAAAGCAGGGTGTCTAGACTATTTTTCCCACCCGCCCAGCTGACAAGTCGCACCGCAGGGAGTTAGTCGGAAAAGAAGGTCTTCGAGGCCCCCCAAGAAGGAATGCAGTCTTCGAAGATAAGATCGACGCCAAGACCAAGTGAGCAACCAGTAGGAATGCGAAGACTACACCCTCGTCGGTAGCCCGGTTCCTAGCGAGACCTCACCCAAGCACCGAGGACAATCCCCAACGGAACCCATAGAGTACCCGGGCCTCAGTACTGATCATGCGAGCTCAAGCTCAATTTTGTACAGAAGCCGTTGCACCCCGACCTAGCATCGTAAAGCAAAGATAACCAAATAAGAAAGATAACAACACTTCTCCAACAATAGTACAGCAAGAATTCTACACAGCCAATAGTCTGGGGGCATGGCCTCGTCATCATCTAGAGGACTTTATAGATGGTGTCTAGACTATCGTAGCTAGGGTTTTTTTGCGTCCTACTTAGCAAGGACTATATTAGGGGTTTAGGGTTTAGGGCTTAGGGTTTAGGGCGTGGGGTTGAGGGTTTAGGGCCAGTGCTACGGGATCTTCTGTACCCAAAACTATATTGGCAGTGTTTACAGCTCGTCGGACCTAGTCAAGTCTATTTGTTCAGGTTCAAGCAATGCTCTGATGTGATGTAGGGTAAGGGAGGCAACCGAAACACAGAAGGTACTAATGGAACCAGGGCCAAAAGAACGAGGAAAGCCCCTAAGGCAACCCTTTCCGAGTGTGCAGCAACCGGGATCTCGAACAGTGTGCCTTTCAACCCAACACCCATCAGCAATCCAGCTACAAGCAACGATTCAAAAGCCTTAACCCCATAACTCCGTTCCTGAAGATGAAAAACGTTACTGTAGGCTCTCATTATTCTTCTGATGCACCCTCTATGCACACTGCCCCTGCCGGAGAGCGAGCGAGAGAGAGAGAAGAGAGAGACAGAGAGGGGACTGCTCATGTGGCTTGGATGGATGGTCATGCAACGAAAGGGAGTCGCTCCTCCCACATCTCGTTGGGATTTGGGTGTGGGACTTATTCCGTGGCCGGAAGCTCGTTATCCCAATGGTCTTGATGGACTGGGTGAGGTGAGGGTAGCACATTCCTGAGGCTTGAAACCCCTTTAACATGACGACAGGACACAGGTTTCGCAGCGAGATTTTGCCCGTTCGGTCGTCATCGAAGAGTCGGAAGACCTGCACCAAGTGCGGCGGATGTATTCGCGGCTTCGTGTCTTGCTGTTGGGGTGTAGGCGAGGAGGCTTCGACCCTGCCGTGGGGTCCACTCTTTGCACAAAACCGATGCCTTGGAGACATCCTCCTTTGTGTCCCGCTCACCCATCTTGGCGGTCATCAAATCCTCTGGGGCTCTAGGGATGGGTGAGGTGCAGGCGTTGCTGCGGGCTCCCTTCGGCAAGGATAACCTCAACCCCCACACGCTCCCTCAAACTCTTCACATGTCCAACACGATGCTAAATTTCAGTCCAGAAAGGCACCGAAGTCCAGTGGCTTTCCGCCTTGCCTCCAACGGAGCTTGGGGAGACTCAGCGCGTACATGCAGCACTGTAGCAGTAACAGCAGACATGGTCTGTCTTCATACGGGACATTGCGGGAAACTTCCGGCGAATGTCGGACGAAGCACATGCCACAGGTAAGCTGCACGAAAAATCGAGAAGGCATACGGATTCACCCTTCAAGCAGAAGTGCGTTAATGCTTAGCAGAAGAATGTCGATTCAGGACAATAATTAGAGGCTGGTCCAGTGGAACTGGACAAGACCATGGTGTAACAACAGCATGCTGAAACGGCCGCTCATTGAATTGCTTCAAGTCTGTGGCATGAATTAGTATGAATAGTAGCCTGCATGGCTCCACGAGGCGCTGGATTGATCGAACTGAAGCAGTTCAACTGAGTTGTTGAAAGACATTCCGTGTACTTCCGGCTCCATTGAATCAACCATGGGAATCTTCGACACATTGAGGACCCCGACAGTTGATGACCTATTCATGACAACTCCGTGCAGCTTAACCGTGCAGGCTCATATGACTCATATGTCGTGCGGACTCGTCATCAGAGGCGAGTGGGACTTGGACTCGAAGCTTCATATGCGCAGTGATTGCGGGCTGATCTTGAAGCGGTCTCAACAACTAATCCTGTCTTTCACCTGAGGGTAGCTGGGTGTTCGGGCGGGAAGGTCCCGAGAGTGTCCTGTTCGCAACATGCCCTAGGCAGAGTTCGGGCTGCATGTTGAACGTCAAGACCGTTGGGGCAGCCGCTTTGCAGCAATGCGCGACAGAAACCCAAACATGCAACAACAGTGGAACTCATGCTGCGCAATTGAAGGCCTCAGCATGCAAATGACTCGCCTGCAACCTTTACCAACCGTCCGGCGGAGTTGAGTTCATCGATTTGGCTGGCCTTTCCAAGTCATTGAGGATATGGTGGACAACCTGGCCGGAAGGAATGCTGGAATCACAACCCGGAGCTAAGCTGGGTGGGGTAGTGAACGGGCTCTTTGATGTCGAGGTGCCTGGGCTTGGTCTATGCTTCGACTCGGAACCTCGTCACCAAGGCTGGGCGAGACGGCCAGGTGTTTGAGATATTTGGGGCCCTCTTGACATGGAGCTCCTGATGATGCCACCTTTCCTCATGGAGTCATACAGGAATGCAGATTTACAGGGCCTCCGGCTCTTGCGACAGAACGTGTGCAGGATGTGCGGGATGACGATGACGTCGATGATGATGGTGATGGTAGGGATGATGAGGATCTCGACAGTAGTGGGTGGTTGGGTGGCGTGGAGCGGAGCGGGGGGGGGGGGGGGGNNTGGCGGCGTGGTGGGGTGGCGGCGGTCTCGTTGGTTACGCGGACTACTCGTCTTCTCGTGTCCCGTCACAGCAGTTGCTCAGACTTGCTCCGGCCTGATTGCGTCGCAGGTTCAGCCTGACAGCCACGCCGCAACCATAGTGTAGACAGAACGCTACGGCACGAAAGCTAAGATGCTAACCCAAGCACAGGTCGCAGGCCAACTATCGCACTTCTGTCTATGTCTCTCCCAAGAGTTCTCGCGCGTCTCTGCATCTGCTCCGTGTAATTCCTCGTCTTTCAACTCACGGCCTTCTGTTCCGGCCCAGCGGCGACTGAACGCAGGCTCTGAGGTCCCGTGGGTTGATCCGCTGGGTTCCATCCACATCGAAGAGGTCGAAAGCCTCTTTGACCTGACGAAAGGACGACAAAGATTTCGAACATCATGCCATCTTCGTGAAGCGTTCTAACAGGATGTTGCAAGATGAACATGAAAGGCAACAAGAACATCCATCCAGAGACCGCTTTCAAGACCTGTTCGAATCGAGAAATGAGGTTCGAGCTGCCTGACCCTCATTGGCAAAGGCTCAGATCGAACCATGCCGAATTTCGCCCCCGCCCCCAAGAGGTCCCCTAGTTGGAATTTCAGCCACGAGCTTGCCCGCCATGGGCTTGGGAGACTTCCATCGTGCGACCCTGCCTGCCGGTTACTCTTACCATGCCTTGCAATCGTGCCTTTGTCGCTTATGTCATCGCATAAGCATGAGACTCAATGCTCTGTTGCTGTACTTTGGCTTTGCTGCTCCGCTTGCTTTTGGCATTGACAAGCTGGTATTCATTGAACTGCTTCAGGGTCTTCTTCACCGGGACGTGTGCTGTGCTGGTGAGTTGTTGGATTTTGCTAGATGTGATGTGCCTGTACATGTGATGGGGTTTTGTTGCTGGCATGTGTTTTGCACGATTTTTATGTTTTTTTAATCATGGCTTCGTTCTCTCATCATCTCGGCATCATACGTATCCTGCGTCGGAAAAGTCAATTCACAACATGTCATTGTGCAGCTGCCTCAGTCGATAACCCTTCGCTGCATCTTACCAACCCACGCTGGGATAATGTCCATATGTTTCCGGTTCTAGTATCCTCTCAGGTCCCTCTCTCATGCCAAATCCATCGAAGCCTCCTCGATCTCATCTTGCATCAGCCCCTGTCGGTCCGAGTGGCGTGGAACTAAAGTTGCGGGCCGTGCCGGCATTGCTTGTTCGGGACCGCTAGGCAGCGTTCGAAGATAGGACAACAAAATAACGAGCGCTGGCTCTAGCAAATAAAGCGCCGAGCTGCCAATCTTCAACTCTCAGACTCTGCACTGCCAGGCAAAGACAACGATGCGTCTATCTGCAAGTTTACACCAACTGCCGAATCTCTGGTGTCACGACAAGCCATTCCTCAACCGATGTCATCCCAATTTATGTCTCCTACCCGAAGGCCTTCAGTCGGAAGCTCTTAGACTCGACATCCAGAGCGACAAGCCGCTACTCTGCTTGCCACATTACTTCTCTGAGATTGCTTGGTATTTTGTCTGCGAAGTGTCAGACACAATTCAACTGCGACTGTGATACTCTCCTCAAAGAGGCACTGCGGCTTAAAGTTTGGGGGTCGAAATGCCAAAGGATGTCTAGAGCTTGTCAGGACTGCGCGGGATGCTTGGCGGAGGATGTCACAAGATGCACAAGTACGAGTCTCGTAGCAGTGTACTCATTCAATGACCTCTGAAGCAGTGTCGCGACCATAGCGACAACTAGGATGTCCTTCAGGAGCTGCTGGCATGAGTGACCAGGGCTTCGGTCGTTTGATTGGGCTGTCGGCACTGGCGAAATGAGCTAAACATCCCAACAGCATACATCTCCTATCGCATTTGGAAACCCGCTCCCACTATCGAACAGGGCCAATTGAATCACACGAACGCCAAGACGATGCATACATAGTCCACCCAATGCTGCCGTGCGACCGGGCGCTCATATCGCTTCCATGACCAGCCCTCGCGCGAGGGCCGCCCGGCCATGGCAACTTGGGAATTTCAGCTCCCCGCTGGTCACAACTAAAATTCTGTTGTCGAGGGTTCAATGTTTGGAAGCCGGCTGCTGCCAGGGTTGCTCTTTGCGCGACCACCGTCGACGATTAACAGTACAGAAGACTGCTAATATTGAATGCTACTGCTGCTGTTGCACCACTGTCTACTGCTGTCACGCCACGAGGTGGAACTGCTTGCTTGCTGCAGGTTTTGTTTCCCCTGCGAGAACGCCTGCAATTACTGAAAGTCTACCGAATTTAATCTTGCACTAGTGTCGGCAGTCTTCCGTCTATGTAGTGGTGAGGCTGCCAAGACAAGATCCTGCCACACCATGGTGGAGGTGGTGATGCAGGGGAGCGAGAACATGAGTCACAGCCAGCGTGCACTCTGAAGCTGCTCTTCCTTTTGCAGCGAGCTTGTGTCTCACGCCCGGGCGGTCGCACTGAATAGCCTAACTCATGCTGAGCATCCCGCCACTCCTCAACTCCTTCAGGAGCATTAAATCCAAATGAAGCCTGTGTCTGCCTGACGCCTGAAAATTGAGCACCGCCATTCCACTCTTCAATTCTGTGCCTTTGAGCTCTCCAGAACATCTTCAGCTTCCACAAGTGCCAGGCTCTGGCACTCAGGCTTGCTGTGAGTGGGATCTCGGATCAAACTGCACACACCCTGAGATCTGCAAGATTGCATTCTTGCTGTTGGCGAGCACCTAGCGGTTGGATTGTGTCACGCTGTTGCTGACCAATGAAATAAAGCTTTTGGCATTAAGTTCCGGCTGCAGCGAGCCTCCCATCACGAAAGAACATGACATCAACGCACCCACTACAGCGGTCTTCGAGACTGCGCCGACAGGACAGTATTCCTGGCTGAACAAGGCGACTACGAAGTGCTCCCGGCGTTATAGACACGCGTAGTCTTAGGTGAGTCTTGACAGCCGCCGCCTCACAGCCGAACATCAACATTTCAACATGCTTTTGTTGGCCCTCTGCAAAGCTGCTCCTGCCGTTCGGCTTCGCCGGTGGGCTGGTGCGAAAACGTGTACCATCTAGGCCGGGTCTGGTCTCAAAACTCAGCAACCTGCAGCACAAAGCCTTGGTGTCAAGCAGCTTTAAGACGGATCCCCGCCGGAAACTCCAAACTCTAGACATGCCGCGAGGTCATCCCACTCATCCCTGCTCGGTCGTGGCCAAGAGAGCTCACGTGCAGATGGCACGATCCTTCGCCTTCCAGAACAGGTAGAGTGCGGACACGGCGAGCAACGCCGACACGATGAAAAAGGTAACCGAGGCCATAATCCTCCCAACCGGGAAAGGGAGGGAGTAATCAAAAGCCCAGTCGAAAGTCATATAGATAGCAACGACCGCAATCAGCATCGCAGCTGCTGGCAACAACACCACAAGGCTGAGCAGAAAATCCGTCACCCAATACGGTTGCCTCATGCGGAGTTTGTAGGCCAAAGCCGCGCCTAGCAAAACGATGCTCGGTATCGCCATTAGCCACCATGCCAGCGCATCAATCACAATACACAATCCAGTGCTTACGTCATCGGCCACGAGGAGGGTAGCCACTCGATCCAAGAACAGCCACATCACCGGACTAGAGGCCATGACGATTTGCCGGTACAGGTAAAGAGGGCTGGTGAGCTCTCGAAGCAGAGTTGTCCTGACATGTCCCCGCACCAAGTGCTCGAAGTCAGTCGTGCTTCCAAACCAGATTCCGATGCATTTCAGCATGATGTCTCGGTCGCAAGGAATCCGCTCGCCTGTCTCATCGTCCACGTGGTTCACGGTGCAGCAATAGCACTTCGCATCGTTGACTTGGAACTTGCCGAGTTGCTGCTGTAGGGTGTCCAGGCTGCAACAGAAGCGACGGCCAATATAGACAAGACAAAGGAAACACGGCAAGAGGCCCGCCGACATCGTCAATCCCATGATCACACCGAACAGGATCACATCACTATTGGCAAACGCTTGCAGCAAGTTCGGCCATGCAACAAGCAACACGATCAGGCCAGCCTTTCCGATCAGCAGAACCGGTCCCATGAGGTTTGGTCGAATACTCAGATGCTGGCTTATCGTAGTCGTAGCTTCTGTTGGTCGGCTGCGAAGAAACGATGCTAGCTCGAACACACACCAGAATCTCCTGGGCTGACTTTTGATCCTTGCAGCCTCATAGCCTCATTAATTCTCAACCTAGAGTGGAAACCCAAAACTGTCAACCTCCAATCGCCCAACCCGAAGAGAGCCAAGTTTCTGTACCCAACTCGGATCCCACAACACAAGCATTGATGCTGAGCTCTTCAAGATTGCACCCATGCTGAGCATGGCCTCGCCCTTCAAGCTTTCGTCCTCTTGGTTTATGCAGAGAAAGTCCAAGAACACAAGCTTCCTCGCCCGCCAGAACATGAAGCACAAAAGGTAGAAGGTCACCCCAATCAAAACACTCCACTGCGACTTGCAGAAACCGTTGTCAACGGTGGCAGGCAAAACCTCCACGGCGTGTAGGACGCAGCCCAGGGCCGCACCCACCATACCGAAGGCAGTCGCGATAAAACCACTGTTCAAATACCATGCCGTGACAAATTTCATCCAGGCAGATGTGTGCCAGCTGTGGGACCAAAACTCGTCGATGTCTGCTGTAGCACAGCTGAATTTGTACAGTCCCGGCTGCTTCCCACGCATCGCCTGCCCACAACCCCGCAAAGCGCAGTGCACAGGGACGCCTCGAATGATTTCTGGCCTGGTGGGCTCCATGCTGGCTACCATGTCCACCATCCAGTCGTCGCCAGGCGTGCTCGCTTGCGGTGGACTGGGTGCTTTGACAGTGACAGCATCTGGCGAGGCCCAGTCATCACCCACTTCGTGGATATGAATTCTTGCGTCATGGTCGGGCGGGACTTCTTGCTCATAGTCAGGCAAATCGGCAACTTGCCCGAGAGTTTGCGGGCAAGGCTCAGGCGACACTGCCATGTCACATGCGGGGAGACTAGGAGATCGATTGTCACTAAGTCCTCGCCCCATGCTCTGAACTCCACACTTGAACTTGGACTGATGATCAAAGCGCAGTCAAGGCCTGAACGACTTTTTTACACAGGCTTGATTGGGCGAGCTACGACTTAATCTCGGAACCCTTCTCTGGCCAACAAAGACCCGCAAATGAGGAGCCGGGAACAAAGGCCACGATGTCGAAATGGTCGCTGGGGCCGAGAGCGGACTTGAACCAGCATCAGCACCAGCACCAGCAGCACCAGCACCACCAGCACCAGCACCAGCTAGGCTTTACTTAAGTTTCCCGAAGAGAAATTCTTTGGAACCGGTTTAGCTAGCAGTCGTGCGGCCTCACGCAGTTTGTAGACATTATGATGGTCAGATGCCCTTTCCTTCTTGCATAAGACAGCTGCCTGGAATCTGACAGTGCAAGCCATTGAAAGCAGCGTCTGAAGTCTGACAGCGCAAGCCAGATACATCAACGTTTTAAGATGTGCTTTCGTTTTGGTGTAGCTGCCGACACGGAAACGCTGCCAGCGCGAGCGCCAGCTTCACATCTCTGTAGCAAAGCCTCCCCCTTCAAGCAGATGTTTGAGCCACCTTCTTCAGCAGTGTCGTCGGAGGGCCTGCGTTGATCTTCCACGGCCATGCTGCAACACACTGGCATACAGGGCCCACTGCCAGGTTCGTGGTCGGCTTCCTTGGCACCTCCCACCCTTCCGTTTGAGCGTGGAGATTTCAAGAAGGGAATGGGACCTGAAGGGAGCCAAAGTCGCTCAAAAAGGCACATCCCACGCCAGATACCATCAGTCCTCCTCTCTCGCAAGGGTCGCTGGTACAGCTTCGAAAGAAGAGCGGCCCCTCAAGCCTCAGTCTGGCTCCTTCGCAGCTAAAGGCCCCAAAGCGTCGTCCACTAGTTGCTGTAGGCGATCCCTCGATATGCAGGGCTCCTTAGCTGTCGCCTCTTGAAAATGCTTGTCGTGAATTGCGGATAAAGTGAAGCCGGGCATCGATGAGCAGGAAGTAAGCACACATGAGGCCCAGCAAGACAAGCCCGACAAGGATCACGGAGCTCGCGGCCTGTCTCAAGGGACTGTGCCGAATCTGCAAGCAGAGGGCGTAGAATGGCGTAGAAACGCTGTAGCAGTGACTTGAACCAATTAACACAATAACACTTGGTGTGAGCGACGAGTTTGAAAACAGTGGCTGTGAGCCGCTTGGGGTCCAGGAGCATGCGTGGAGCGTTTCACGTTACGCGTACATGAAGTTCTGAGGACGTAGGGCTTGGGATTTGAGGGCTCGCAGACGGTAGAATCTGCAGCGGAGCTGATCTGAACAATCGCGCATGCCTGAAGGAGCCGAAGAACATGACCTCCGAGACGCGTTTGAAGTTTGAACCTCGGGCTGACTACCTGTCGGAAGCGTCGCAACCCCTTTAAATTCCGGCCTCCAGTTCAGCCTCATCTTGTGCGCCCTTGCAGCCAGAAGCCTCCACGGCCAGCCAGTTGGCGGCCAACAAAGGGAAATTTACCAAGACCTGTGACCGGGAGGTTACGTGTTTTCGAACTACGGCACCCTGTTACATTCAGGGTTTCGGCTCCTCAGCAGGCCAAGCAGTTGAAAGTGTGCTCGGCGGCCGGTAACTAGCACGGTTCTTGGCCCGGCAGCAGTGTTCCAATCCTATCAGACAACTCGTCTGGTGCCTGTAGCACGTTCTGCCAGAACACCAAGTCCTGAGACATCGTCTTGGGGCTGACAGCAGCTAATGTGTTGGGGTACACCTAAAAGTGTATATTTATGTATAGATATATACATATATATATAGAGAGAGATATAGATAGATACAGATATATGTACGTGTGTGCATTTTATATATATATATATATAGTCACCCTGTAGAATATGATTAGTATACTTAGCATGTACCCATCCATACCCGTGTATACATACATACCTAATATATATATATATATATGTATGTATATGTGTGTGTGTTTATGTGTGTGTATATATATATATATGAAACAAAGGATGTAGGTATGTATGTGTATATAGATACAAACAATGGGCGCTGTTCAATATTATTGTTCCTGAAGTTGGCTCAAATGTGGCAGGTTGACGCCTCGAGAAAGGATTCCATTATAGAACTCCATGTTTTGAATTCTCGGGTGCGAAACTATGAAGTTTTGCTAGTGCGGGCCACATGTAAGGTGTGTGGAAGGGTAGCTCAAGGCTTGTCTTGATCTTTGGAGGAGCTTCCGACGCGTGAAGTAAAGGTTTAGGAAGTAAGGTTCGAGCCTGCACGGGTGCAAGCAGAGGAGTTCGCACTTAACGTGAGCCAGTACAGCATCCCAAAAGGCTGACCGGGACTGGCAGCGAGGTCACTATCCCAGATGCAATCGACCGCTGCCCGAACGAGGCAACAGAAATGCAATGGTGGGTCGCTTTCAGGACGTTGCTAAGCAGCTGCCAGATTGCAACCATTAGGATGTTTCTTCTTTCGAAGCAGCTCTCGCGCTATCACAGGCATGCGCGATGCAGGGAAGGAAGAGAAAGGTGGTCGAGGAGATGAAAGATCCCACCAGTAGCTCCGTAGACTATTGTAGATGCAAAGGATGGGCTCGGCATCAGAAACGAAAAGTTTCCTAGTGCGCTGCTAGCTTGGAGCTGGCACGCGCTGAGCGCGGATTGCCCATGTTATCACACATTGTTTTGCGTGGTGGTGGCGATGGTGCATGATGCATGAGCATATGCGAATGAAAAGAACAGTTTTACCTGCAAGGAAAGAAGCTTCTTCAAGCAATGCGCGAATGGAGTGACATCGTGAAAGGATGCTCTACAGTACAATTGTGTGTAGTCGATGCTTGCTTCAAGTACAACTGTGATACAGGCATGGGTTGAGGGAACTGTTGCATGTTTTGTGAAGATCCGATGCCACTACAAGCTTGTAGGGAACTAACTGTTGCATTTTGTGTGAAGATATAATGCCAATTGATGCCACTAATCTACAGCACAACTACTGCGTCTAGGAGTCTAGGACATCGGTTGTAGGGAACTGTTGCCTTTTCGTGTGAAGCTATGATGCACAACAACCTACAGTACAACTGCGTTTAGGGCATCGGTTGACGCCCAGCGGAGTGGCGGAGTGGAGGGTGCGGACGAAAAGACACCAGGGCGATAAGCGGAGCCTAGGTGACAGCTTCAGCCAAACACTAGCACACAAAGGTAGCGTGCACGAGGCTTTAACCAGCTGTAACCACGGGTATGTCAGCCCTAGTAGCAGCAGCAGCAGCAGTGGCAATGGCAATAACAGTGGCAGCAGCAGCAGCAGTAGGAGGAGTGGGAGTAGGAGTCGGGAGCAGCAGTAGGAGTAGGAGTAGAATATACTCTATCTAGTAATTAAATATATCACGAACCACTTGCTCTATGGATCCCTAGCGCCAGGCCAGCGCTGTACTAGCGCCAACAAGCAGAATAAGGAGCCTTAGTTGCGTCACGCCTCTTGTTGTGAACAAAAACCAGACCCCAACAACCAAATAGGTTCGTTTGTATAAACTTCGCGACAAGGTAGTTAGACCACTGCCTATGTACACTAAAAATAAATAAATATATATGTATATATATATATATATATATTTTTTGCCTCCTGCATGGCTGAACTTGTGGCGAAGCAGGGTGATGGTTACACTCCAGTTAATTCTGCCCTTCCATCTTGGTCGGGTCATCAGTCCAGCGTTTCATCCATATTTATATATATATATATACAGATATACACACATATATATATATATATATGTGTGTGTGTGTGTATAGATATACACATAGAGCTTTATTTATCTATTTATTTATTTGCTTGCATATAATCATATGTACATACATATATAGAGAGAGAGAGAGACTGGATTTATTTAGCTATTTAGTTATTAACTGATTGAAAGACATCTATCTATATACATATATATATATACATGCATATGTATATATATATATACATATACATGCATGTGTATATATATATATATATACGCACAAGACAAATTCATATATATATATATATGCATGGAAAGCAGTGTTGCCCGGCATTGGCGCGAGCCTTTCGTGAGCATCAAACAAACTCAGACAGGAATAGTTTGTGCAGCTTTGCATAAGATCCAGCACCCCTGGCATTCCATCCCTCGTCGCATGAAGCACAGCACATCTTACGTGTGCAGCATGACCAAAGCTTAGTGACATCACAAAGCCTGATTACGGGTTGTGGTCCTACACCACTCGACTGCCAAGCGGCCGATCCCTTGCCGGCATCGTAGCAAAGCAAGAAAGTGTCGACTCGCGCGTGGATGAACTTGTCCAAGGGTCCGATCCTTGAAAAGTATCAATGCATCGGGCGGCCAAGGAATACTGCGTTTCGCACATTCCCTACGGGATTGCTGCATCATGATGACAAGCCTCGCGGCTTGCGAAGCGTCTACGTAGTTTGAAGGGTGCGATTCCTGCCAGGTGTCGGGAGGAAGATTATCATGGCAGCGAAAACTGCCGAACCGCCAATCCACACCTGGGCTCTGTGGGAAATGCTTACACGGCTTTCTCAAGCGGCCTTTCGTCTATGTAAGTTAATTATGGAACACTTCCACATGGTCCCGTGGCCGATTGGGACAAGGCAGTTGCGGCAGGACCACTTGACAGGGCGCTACAGATTCAGCCTTGCAAAATCTCGAGAGGCTGATACTGGTAGGGCAAATGAGCGTGCAAGCAAAGACATCACGAGAGGTGGACGCCGCTTGACGAGTTTTCGAATCTGCTCGCAGCATGCATTACAGCCCACTCCAGCCACCTACGACGGTTGTGCTTTCACATCCGGCTGCGCCCACGCATTTGCCAGGCCTGATGCCGATGTTCAGCATTGGCCTGGAGGTTGCCATGGAAGAGGGCTATGTCCACGTCGTGGTACATCAACCAGTCGTGCTCTGCTACAGCAAAGAGTGAGGTACTGGGCAATTTGGGCACGCGAGTCACAGAATGCCCGTCAACCACCACCGTCACTTCTCCGCAATCAACCGGGCTGAGCGCTTTCAGGCGGGCACCGAGGATCGACGTCTTCGATGCCACGAGGCTCCCAAAGCGTAGCACCACACCCGACGCGAGCCCTTGGCTCTCCCTTGGATCCAGGTTCTCCGGCAGGGGAAAGGCAGCCCCGAGGTACTCTTGCGGGTGGGATGCTCTGTTGCCAGCTCCCGCCTCCCACGTCACCGGATTCGTGGCCAGGATCTTTCCTGTCAGCGGCAACCAGCCCGCATTCCTGTGAAAGATCATCCCGCAGTGCACGAGAACCATGTGCTGTGGGGCAGCGGTCCTCCAGCTCGACACTGAGCAAATGTCCGTCGCCCGGATGCTCGGCCGCACGTGGCGGAGAGTCTGGAACATGCGAAGTGGAACCGTCTGGCCAGCGAGGTATCCATGCACGAAGCGGTCCCTTCGGTCAGGATAGGGCTCCACCTGGCGGCAGCGGGGCATGACTGCACATCCCCTTCTAGCACTCGCCAGCTTGCGGCATGGCGGAAGATCCTGTTTGCTGGGATTCTACTTTGGGTTCCCGTAAATCCCTTCCTCCTCCTGGACCAACCGCATGAGGTGCATGGTTCCCTGGCTGTGCCCGGCCAGGAAGAAGGGCCTCGAAAGGCAGGAACTCTAGAGTACTGTAAGGCAACAAACAAAGGCTTTGGGTTTCTCAGAGCTCCATCCACAGAAAAGCTTGGCTTCCGCATGGCAGTGTCCGAGGACTCAACTTGGCAGGTGACCTTTGAGCTCGAAGTGCAGAGACGGCCCAGCAAACCCACATCAAACATCCCCGCCAACCCGAACCCACAGAGAAGTGATGACCCCGGTTCGCCGGCGTTAAGGCCTGCCTCCCAGCATTCCCAGGATCTTCCACAAACTGCACGAAGGCAGTGGCCACATCCTCAGGGCACTGGCACTTGCAGAGACAGCTCCCATCTGTAGCTGCAAGGCTGACATATGTCGGTCTCGCTGTCACCTCTTCAAAGAACTGAAATGCCCGGGGGTATGGTTCAGGTCCTTGTAGGCAAGCTCGATGGCCCCGCGAAGGTCCTGCTTGTGGGAGTTTTGGATTTCTCGCAAGATCGACTTTGGGGCAGGCGCAGCGCAGGTTTGCTTGTGTCCAGTGCTTCGAGTGACTGCGGAGGCGAAGGCTTGGAGGGCCTTCGGCACGCTCGATGTTGGGGAGTTTGTCTTGGATCATTTTAAATTGGGTTGAAGCTGCCATGCCAACTTCGTGTGTCGTCCTTCCAGCGCTGGGCAGGGGAGGGGGGCATGTACAGCGCCAGGGCCACCACGTTCACCTTCCGGAAAGGCTGGTCAGCAGTGGGCACCGGAAGAAGTCCGGCAATTGTCTAGAGGCTAGAGGCTTTGCGAGCTTGGGAGGCTTTGCAGCAAGGAAAGCAGGACTCAAGACTACTTGTGCCGAGCAGGCCCTGACCTGGCGGTACCGCGGCGCATACACTCGACAAAGGTGGTTGAAGGGCGCAGCGCCGGCGGCCACACGCAGGTCCACCTGTTCGTCGACCTTCGCCCATGCCAACAAACAAGGCGAGAAAGACAAAGCAAGCACAAGTGGGGAGAATGCAGCCTTCGCCCTCAGCTCTGAGACCTGATCCTTCCCAGGACGGTGACTTGGAAAGCTCAGGTTGCTGCTGCGCTGTGAGGGAATGAAAGGGACTGCAATGCCGAAGTCCTGCAGCGGGCTGTCCTGGACGGGTGCAGTCCATCTTGGTGCCAGCTCGCCAAGAAACGGCATGGACTCCTGCCTGTGGCAAAGCTCTGCGGTTGGGCACTTCAAACGCTTTACTGCAGAGAGGCCTGTGCGCTGTAAGACAAGTGACATCCGCACCAACTCTTAATTTGGAGAGCTCTGCTAGTCAAGTCAAAATCCGAGTACACCAAACTGATGAGCACTGGTGTTCTCCAATGCATCATCCTCGAATACCTACGGCCTAATAGCTCTCGCAGCCAAAGTCGCATGGTCAAGCAAGAGTCGTGCACGAAGAAGCAGTCGCATGGCCGATCAGCCACTGGAGGTGGTGGCTCCACTGCTCTGCCTACCTGGGAGCTGACTACAAAGGACGTACACATTGAATTAAATGACGCAAAGCCTTCGGTCAGGCTGCTCATGGTCTTAACCTGCGAGCTGTTTAGGCTGCTGTTCAGATGGACCGTTGCTTTTCCTGCTTCGGCTTGCAAGCATCAAGGCACACTGCACATAACAGTGAAGGTGTGCAAGACAAAGCGCAAAATCGCCTCGCAGCTCTCGCGAATGATTGCGGTAAAGACCAGTTCTAGGCAGAAGCAGCCCTTCCCGATTGCATCTTCGGCACTCGCACCTAATTTTTCTGAGACTCGCGATAATTTCTCCAGCATGGAACAGATACATGAGAGCTGAGGAACCGAACGGGAACCGCGAACCGGAACCGATTCCTGTGGAACCGCTGGAGCCGAAATGCCGATTTCAAGGATCGCGAATCTGCCGCACCGAACCGCCAGCTCGGCTCTTAGCTTTGTGTGCTACAAACAGTCCGAAATCGTAATCGCGAGCAAGAGGCCTGACGCGGGGGAGTACGGTGATTTTCGCATTTTCAACCCCAAGCTTGCCCAAAACGGCACTCCCGCGCAACTTGGCACTAAGCTCAAAAGTGCAGAATTTATTGTGTACTCCCACGTGCTCCTCACCCTGCACGAACACGATGAACCGCCTCAAACTGATCTGCAATTAGCAACTACTGTGTTCCCGCCTGAAAGGCGGAGTAACGGGAAGTACCGCGCCACATTCTGTACTCCCGTGTTTTCCGGCTTTGCAACGTTTGGCCCAATGAAACCGCCAAACAGGCACACTGTATCCCCGCGTCAAAGGAGCAGCGTGCGGCAGAGTACGGCAATTCGCACTTTCAGACACATCTTATCGAAAAGCGTACTCCTGCGTTTTCCTGGCCCCGTGGGAGTACAGAATTTGGCACTTCAAAGCCCCAGGTGCTAAATTGTACACGACGTTCCTCGTCCTGCAGGGAGACGACAGTGAAGCCGCCAGACCTATGGCAAATTCTGCACTCCCCGGGCGTGTAAGAGGCGCCGCATGGGGGGAGTACATCCCTTAGCAGTTTCAGAACCCAAACGTGCAAAAGACTGGCCTCCCGCGTGTTCCCCGGCCCTGTGACGAAATGTGCAAGCTGTTGTACTCGCGCGTTTTGATGCTTTGCACAGGATATACAATCTTAACGCAATGACACGGCGCCAAAACAATGCCAGTATGACCCAAAAGTCACGACCGCCGTGTGCTTGGAAAGATAGATGTCGCAGCGCAGTAAGTTGAATTTAGTAGAAACCGGCAGGAACCGCGAACCGAACCGCAGGAATCTGAATCGCCATCTCAATACCGCAAGCCGAACCGACTCGACCCGTTACAACCATGCAGATAGGAACGCATCTTTTCCAATATGCTTGCTTGCTTGCATCTGGCCCTGCGCAAGCTGCATGGTGCTTTCGGAACACCATGATTACTCACGCCCGGCGAGAAATGAGTCGAAACCCACCCAACATGAGCCTAGCACCAGCACTTGAAGCCCCCAAGACGCTGGGGTGGCGAGGTGATTCACATCCTCCACCGCGCGTTGACCAGGGAGGCGCTGCGGGTGGGCACTCCACCTCAAGTTTACTTCTGATAGGACAGGCAGTCTCGAAGAGCCGCCCAGCCCGCTCAGGCACCTACTACGACGACGACTGCTGCTACTGCCACTGCCATTGCCACTGCCACTGCTACGACGTCGGCTACTACTACCCCTCCTACCTACACTACCACCTCACAACCACCGCTACCACTGCTGTGGCGTTAGTCCGATCAGATAAATCACGGCTCACTCAGGCCTCAAGTATCTTAAGCGATGTGGAAAAACAAGCGATGTCGCATCCAAGGTGCCCGGCCAGGCTGTTGTAGTCCAGTGGCGCGTCCTGCTCCTTTCAAGCTCCGTTCTCACCCATGTAGACACCCGAACTTCGATGGTGGCTTCGGCTCCGGACGCACTTAGGAAGACATCGGCCTTCCGGCAATATGCCATCCCAACTGCCCCAAGCCTCAAACGCCATTCAAGAAAGCCGAAAACTCAGCTAGCACAGCCAAAAAGCGGATCTATTCAATTCGGACCTCCTTCCGGAAGGGCGGTCTGGGGATGCAGCGCAGCAGCCACGGCAAGCGAAGTGCTGCAGAAGCTAACCTTTTGCAACCGCCCTAACCCGCCAAGGCCATCACAGATTTGCAGCGCTACTTTATCTTGCCAGCATCACTATTGCTGTCACTATACCAATGATCGATGCACTTTGGTTTTTCGGAACTGGCCCTGCAAAGCCTTGGCCATTCGGCCTAGAAGCAACCGCCCTGAGTTGGCCTGCGTCAGCACCTGAGCAAAGAGTCAGGACCATGGGAAGAACTGACGCCCACCCTAACCACAAGAAGCTCTTAAAGCACAATCACGTCTGAGTAACAACGGAAGTTAGAAGCCGACCAACACATGATGCAAGAATGGGATAAGCAAGAATAGAAGCAGCACGAGGAGCACTGCTGAATGACAGCAGCAAGTCAAGCATGCACGACCACTGGTGGCTGAGACCGATGATGATGAAGACCAGGCGACGAGTGATTTGGACGTTTAACATTACGGACATGGGGGTGTGCTAGCACTGGGATCTCCAATCCGCATGCCGACATGAGCAGCTCCAACGGCTTAAACCCTCAACTCATCAAGTCCAGGAGCGCGCCAGAGCCTGACTCGCCGACGTGGCTTCTGCGACGTCGTCATAGCGCCAGACATTCTGCCGTGGCACGTGTTGTACCGATGGCGACTTCTGTTGCTGTTGCTAGCAGTATCAAGTACTGTAGCAGCAGGAGCTGTGGTAGTAGTAGTAGTAGTAGTAGTAGTAGTGGGTGTAGTAATGATGGTGGCGGTGAGTAGGCGCAGTTCTGGCTGCAGCTGTGGTGGTAGCAGTGGTAGTAATAGTACTCGTAATACTAGTAGTACCAGTAGTACTAGTACTA